CTAACCCAGCCGTGACATGATAACAGCAGCGCCGGGCTCTCTGCGTGGCCCTGGAGTAAGTTTCTCGGTCTATTAAATTAGAGAGAGTGGGTAGCATCGCCCTTCAACATAAGCTCCGTTCACTTTGCATTAGGCAAGTTAGCAAGCGTCTGCTGCTCGAAAACGGCCTTGCAGTTCTGCGTGGTGGGGCCGGCGCGATTATTTCTGCCCAGCTCTTTGACAGCCTGGCATATGCCGGCCTGGTGATGCCACCGCCGGCCCGCTGCCGCTGTGGCCTGCCCGCGGGGCTCCCCCACGACAAGTGTTTTTCGCAGGCGGCGCCTGTGGCCGCCGCGCCCGCGCCCCACGACCCGAAGCGTGGTTTTCAAGCGGATGCAGACCTGTACATGCCTGGTGGTTAGATGACAGCCTGGTGACGGTCCTCTCCGTTAATTGGAGACGCGGTATTTGAGACCCGTGACTGCAGCTCTGCACGTTGTGTTTGAGTTAATGTTTTGATTCTCTGATTCCTGGATTATTTTTTTTTTTAGAACTCCATTTGGTCTTTTGCTGTTGATGTCCTTTACTTTAGGACTTCATTCTGCTCTTGCTATAGATATGTTGCTACTCGCACAGTTAAACAGGATATGCATGACAGCGTATTAAACACAGATGCACAAGAATACAGTAAGACATCAAGAACATAGAAGCAGATGGCAATTACGCCAGGTGCAGCACTGTATTCCTGTTATGTGTCTTTTTTAGCTACAGGTATTTCCCAATTCCATTAAATAATCCTCTCATACAAGCGTACAAAGCAGAGTTGTGTTTAAAGGGTTCTTTCCGTTCTCATTTTCCAGCTTTTTAGATGGAAGCATTGTAGTGGCACAAGCATGTGCCAGATTGATAGCAGAACATGCCTTTGTGAAATTGCTCTGCAGTTTACTATAGTTGTAAATATTTTGTCAGATTTCTTCATGAAATATTGAAGAACTGGTGCTCTGTACTTTTGTTTCTGTGAGGTTCACAGAAGCGCAGCTAGCATCTCACGGGTTCTGCTATGAGCATCAATCGTAGATCAAGGACAAGTTGTTCCACTTTAGATGTGTCATCAAAACAAACTGGGGCAATTTGTGTGGAGGAAGAAAATGGAATGAAATTCTTTGCTCTTGGCAGCAAGACTTTGACTTTCAAAGAGCTCAAACTAGTTTTCTGTAGTCATTTATGTTTTTATCTGCTTT